ATATTTGCTGTTATAATGTTTAATTTACCTTTAAGTTCCGTTACTAGATAGTAAATTAGGTGATTAGAGTCAATTTTTTTGTCAAACATCGACTTACCAAAAGAGAATTATACACAGTTTATGAAACGGAACCCCCCTTTGAAAAATCCTGGATCCGCCACTGAATTGAATTGATTTTCTTGAAATCGCTAAAGGAATACCAGGTGTCGTGGAAACATCGCGATTTGTCACATCATTAGAAACAGGACAATGAATTGTTTTTGAGAAAAAAGTGTTTTTAAAACGATAAAATTTATCTTTTCGCTTCCTTAGTATTCTTATTTCTGTACGAATAATAGTGTATTAGTAATTTTGCTGTTGTTCTATTATAAGCCAGTAATAGAATATATAAAATCTAGAAGCAAGAATGATAGACAAAATATTAGGCAAATTTCGTCAATAAAAAAGTTTACACTCTAATAACGTTTAATGCAGCGGTTTAAAAAAAAAAAAAAAAAAAAAAAAAAAAAAAAAACCAAAAGTAATTCGTAGTGTAACCAATTAATAAAACCCATAATTGTTAAATAATTACGGTGATTTCGAAATATTCGATACCAGCTGTTTTACGACATTTTAATAGTCCTATTTTAAATCGCCTTTTAAAAAAATGGTACGTAAATTAACGAAATGTAAGCGTGAAAATTATTTATACCCCGTTACTGGAACTCGGAATTTGTTTTAGAAAAAAAGTGTTTTTGAAAAAAAATTCATTGTCGACATTATAATTATTTTTTATTATTCTCATCTAAAAAAATTTGTAATATTACATTTGATAACTTTTGATTGAAATATGCTAAACGTGACAATTATTAAAAACCCGTCAGAAATTACTGGGGAAAAACCTTAAAAAGACACAATGAAACCCTAACATTTCGTTAGAATTACCGTTTACTAGGAAAGCAAATTAGAGATTTTAATGTTATATGATTTACTGCTTTTTTAATACCTTAAAAATTAAAACTTAAGTTTTCTCCATTCAATACTCATGTAAAGTAAATTATTTCACTAAATGAGTAATAACTAATAACGGAGTGGTGACTTTTTCACGAGACAAATAATTAGGTACAAATGTGTAGTACTAATCATGAGTTATAAATACTACGTTATCAATATCGATGTGGTATTCCTGCCCTATGTTTGTCGCGGCAATGCCAAAAAGGTTATTTAGCGTAGCGACCAATGCAACGCTTTTACGACTTCGATCTATCACTATTTTGACAACGTATTTTATCCACTTTGTTGCCGCACTGTCAAGCAGTACAAAAACTAAACGAAAAAAAAGGGGAAAGAAACAACTAAAAACAAAATAAACAAATAATAATTTTAAAAAAGTCAAAAAGCTATCAAGGTCTCAAAAAATATATATAGGTTATTAGCTCTCGGGATATGGTTCAAAAATGTATATATATATTTATAAAATATTTCAGATATAACGCGCGAGCTGATTGGCTGGCTACCGTGCTTATATGAGAGGACAGAGACACGCTCGCGCTAAATCATTCAAAAATATTCGAGAAGTCAAAGAATTTTTCTCTACGACTTCTCTCTTTGTTCTACAGCTCCCATCGTGTTTATATCATAGTAAATAGACAAGCGCGCCGTTTTATATTCCTTAAATATATTTATAAGTGTGTACAGTTCTTCCTATAGATCTTTGGAATTATGAACAATTATTACCAATACTAAATAAATATATATATATATATAATAATTAAATAATCTGTATAAGGTTAACATCATCCAACATGGATGCCACTTTTATTTCTTTAGGAATTATTACAAACAACTTATAGTGAACATTATCCAACATGGCTGCCAGTCATCCAAGATTAACTGGATGACAAGGGATGATGACGAAGGCAGACATTCATCCGTTATGAATCCTTTTAGAATAAAAGAACCGAAAGAATTTAAAAAACCGCTTATTAAAGTAGATATAAATAAAATCTCACAAATGACATTAAAAGAGTCTTATAAAGCCCAGAATAGGGCAAATTACTATCATTAAATCATGATCTGATATATCGGCAATCTCAAGTTCAAGTTCAAATTCCAGACACCGATTGAATTGTTGTTTTCTTATTACCCCATGCGTCATCACAGATAAATTTTGTTCAACTTTAAGTTAATAAAACTGACATAGCAATAGAAAGAGGGCTCCTTTAATGAGCAGTGTTTTAAGGGCTTAACGCTTGTGGTCACCGCAGTAATAGAGATCTGATAATTTCGGGCCGAAAACTTAACCGACAACTTGTTAATGGCTTTTGAATACATGGTGTTTCTAATTAGCTGTTGTTTAGAACTTTAAGATGAGAATTAAATCGTTGTTTTTGCTGTGTATGTAGCTGGGGGGTCGTCAAAATTGTAAGGCTGATATTAAGGAATATTTGGGTGGAGTCTTTGCAATTATGCTGCCTGGAATAGCAGCACTTGGGAATTTTATGTACAGTACGTTTTGCACAACTAATTTTATTTTTACTCTCTTGTTTTCTACTCATTTTCCCCTTTTCYTTCAATGCTTTTGTGGGTTATTTTTCTACTATTTCTATTGCTTTAATTTTTAACCTATAAAAAAAATGTATAAGACTATATATATATGTATTCAATTGTATTAAAATGTATTAAGTTTTTTTTTGGAGAAAACACTCTTGCTGTGGGGCGAGAAACGTAATAAAACTATTACTATAGAGATAGCACTAAAACAATAAAGAAAAAGAAAAAGAAAGGATCGAATGGAGTTCAATGCATCCTGAATCATGTAAATAGAAAAAGGGAGAAATAGAAAAGGTAATTAGAGAAAATTTCAATACAGAGAGATAAAAGTGCATAAGTTAGAGCTACATTGACTTATTACTGAATCCTTTGGCATTTCAACACTAATTTTAAAAAAATTCTAATTTTGTAATTTTKTAATTTGCTTATGCCAGAAAATAAATAAATAACATTTGGTTGAAAAACCATTTAGTTTACAATTATGAAACCAACCCACAAAACAGCACTTGACATTATTTCCTAAATATGTTTTCAATTCTCGGATTCATCTAAAAGATCAATTTCTAAAACTTTCTAAATCGACCGTTCGATTACTCTTATTGGTCGGTGGCCGTTTAACCTTCCTAATGGAAAAAAATATAAAAGAGCAATACAGTCGCCGTGTTTTTTAATCTGTGCCAGAGCGAAATTATTTTTTTATGCTGATTCATTCTTTGGTTTGTTGCTAAAAGCAAAACGCATAAATTTACCATAGATTAAATAATTTTAAAACGTTTTTGCTAGAATAAGATAAAATGCTTTATCAATTTGAATCCGGAAAAAAGTAACGATTAACCGAGATTTAATCAAAGCAACGTTAGTCCATTCGCCTGATTATATTCCTTACCCAATACTTTAGATCCTGTTTATATCTTCAAACAATTCAATAGATCTACTCTGTTTTGACATATCTAGGGCCTAAGCTACACACAAAACAGATAGGCTAATTGTGCTTACAATTTTGCCCAATTGTTAGACTTTGCTGATAATAAATACTATTATGAAGATCAATAAATCAGTTAATGCCACATTAAGGAAAGGATGAAAAATGTGTCTGTTCCCCTATATTTTATATGGAAGTGCTTTATTTCATTGGCGACAGAATTCATCTCGCTTTTCAAAATAGGTTATACGAAATTCTTGAAATAAATTTCTCTCAAAAATAAAGTAATTATACAAAACTACGCTTTTTCCCCCTTCCATATTGTGATGATAGTTGCTCATACAGCACGTCAGCCAAAACCTTTCATTCACCACTTGTAAAAATGTATTCATCTGGCATTTTTTCTGGAACATTGCGATCCTGACTGATACAGTTGTACATGAACGCCTACCAAATTCGATTTCATACTACATACAGTCTAAATCTAATGATTTAATCACCTATTAAGACATTATAACCCTGTCAATGTCAAGGTATTTTACGTGGTATTTCCCTGGCAATAAGGTTTGTTTTAATGGCTTTCTACCCCTCAGGTTATACAATGTCTCCCATAAACGACGTTGCAAACCCACAATGGACAGTTCTTGAAATAGCTTTTTTCTTTAAGTATATTGTTTGGGATTTAAGTTAGGTCATCAGACCTGTCAGGGAGTCTTTGTATTACAATTCCAAGGAATGTCTTTCTTTCTGACACATTTTAGCATGTTTGGCAGCTACCTGATCATTTCGCTGCCATGCTCTCACGTCATCAATCTATGGCACATTTTGGAATAACTTTATTGATCTCGAATAGCTCGATTTCTTAAGGTTCTCAATGCGGATAATTCTAAGCTTAGTTATAGCTAGGAATTATAGTATTCAAGTGTTTTTTATATGTATTTGTCCAGCCATATTACAATATCTTTTTCGTCTGAATCTGGTATCAGAATTTCCCCAAACAAGGTTCTGCCTTCTGATTGGGCTAAACCCATCTGGAGGCTTCAGAACTAAGAAAATTTACATGACAGTTAAATAAATATTTTCCGCCAGACCCCTAAATTTGCATTTCGCCCTAAATTAGTGCTCACACATATTATGTAAGTTTTATAATATGACCTCTACCTTTCATTATTGGAAAATGTTATGAAATACTTGATTTTGTGCAGAAAAAAGTTCTAAGCTGTTTTTAAGTTTAAAAAGGTATTTTGTTCATGGTTTTCAATTAGATAGTACTATGGATTTCGGGAATAGGCTCGACATGGTTTAGTGGTACGCCCAACCACCTTGTGTACAATAAATATTTATTACAAGCGAGACACACGTATTCATATACCATTAATCCCCACCACAAGTTGAGTTGTTTTCTGAACAATATACGTACATTTGGCTTCGATTAGCGAATTGCTTCATCGATTTGTAGTCACCATGGTATGACATTTGACACATAGACGTCAGACTCGAATACTGCTCAGTTGTTTGGTTTTGAGTTAGAATCAACTTGATCCGTTCTTAAGGTTGCCTTTCTCTGTAGTAACTCTTTGCTTGATGTATTCTGGGTGGCGAAAAGACCATCCCATTACAAACGTTTTTGCAAACTTAGACTCTACTCAAGTTTTTGCTCCTGTTTTTACTTCCAGGAAAACAGCTTTGATGTCATTAACTCATACTGTGGCTCAATAGGGAGTTTAAAAAATATTGGATCTAGAACATTACAATCTAAAAACCTTTGGCTACAGCTAAACGACCAAAAGGTGAGTACCTAGAATTATTAATAATAAATTTAATTTATTTGTTTGAAATTTATGGTCGAAGCCACCGGAGCCAACTAAGCTAAAAGCTGGTGTCCAAGTTGTAGGTGGCTGTTAATTGTAATATTA